TGGGAAGGGAGGTCTCTCTGCAGGGGGTTCCAAGTGAAAATGACATCACTATGGAGCACCCCATCATGCTCCCTCCTTCATTTTTTTCTTAAAAATACAACAGAAAAAAACACCAACTTCTGCCTACTCTGTAGCCCCCAACCTCTGTTGGGAAAGGGTTTTTCTACCTCCCTCTTCTCCACGTAAACATCCACCTTGTAATTAGTGATCCGGCATCTCCTCCCCGGCCTGCCCGTACCCGCTGCTGATTCCAGAGGCCTGGGAACCCGCGCTGCCCTCTCTCCGAGGGAACCAGGGGTAGGCACCCCTGGCCGGGGCGTGACTCAGAGGAGCACAGGACCTGCATCTACAACAGTCTGAGAGATTGCACACGGATTCATGGGACCGAGCCCCCGCAGCCCAAACTCCTTTCTTCCCTCCAGAACTTCCTCTCCGACCTCCTGTCAGTCTCAAAATGGATAGAACAGCCCGAAGCCATTGAACAGAGTTATGTCTGCAATCACCTCTCTAATTCTTGCATCTAGGTGCCCATACATCAAGCAAGGGGACCACGCGCGGCTTTATTCAGCACGATGACAAGCAGACGCTTGAATACCAAGGAGCTCATGAGCTCTGCAGCCACAGGAAAAAAGAAAATAAAAATAAAAAAAGAGAAAGCCCCCGCACGGATGCCTGCCTCGCGCTCTGTGGCCCAGCCGGGTGCACGGCTCACAGGAGGTTATTCAGCAGTTCCCAGCATAAACCCCAAGGTAACAAGTATGGACGGAGCAGATGTCGGGAGACCGAGCGCTATTTTGGAAAACTGCCGAGGGATTTAGAAACAGGGCTTTCTTCTGAACCGAAGGCTAATGCCGAAAGGCCTTTAAAATACAACTTCCCAGATGCCACCTGCGTCGGATGAATGCCAGCGCGGGCCACCGATACTGGAAGTGCTTGGACTGATTGTTCCGGCACAAACAAACCCATTCTGTATTCCTGCAGCTGCACCCCGGCCAGGTGAGGAGCCGGACCGAGTCACAGTTGCCTCTCGCTGTCTCATTCCCGGCAGATTTTGGCATTTAGCTGTAATTAAGATTTATTGTTCACTGGCTCCGCAGGTCAGGGCAAGCATGACAATATGGGCGACTTTTCTGTTTGCTGGTAACACGTCTGGTAGGAGGAAGCCTCGAAGCTTTCAGGCAGAGCTCGACAGACATGAATAGATCATCCTCATTGCAGGACCCACGCGTTCCCATTCTAATCAGAGGCCAGGGGTCTCGTGAAGGGCGGGCAGGGAGAAACCGGAAAGACCCAGTGAGCTGTGCTGTCGCTTTTGCATCCGAAGGGTACGGGCTGGAAGCCAAATCCGTTACTGCCCATCTTCTGGGTTTGGGGACGGGATTGTCTGCTTGGTGTGGGAGGCAACCTGAGACCTTGGTCTGACAGAGGTTCTACAGAGACGGGGACCTGCGGGCCTTCGTGCCCCCCCCTTGCGAATCGGAGGAGAATCATCCTTCATCTCTCTCTCCGCTCAAGGATGCCCTTGGACCGAGTCAGGTGGCCGGGGAAGGAGGGAGGCGGGGCTCCGCCGTCAGCGGCCACTCACCTGCTTTTACAGGCTGTCTGCCCAGGTCCCGCGCAGGTGACCCCCGACACAGTGGGTGTGAAGGAACAAACGGTCCGCGAGCAGACAGATGAAAAGGGCGGCTCGTCCCCGCTGCTTTATTAGAAGGCAGAAATGCGGAAGCGTAATGTCCTTCAATTTCCTGGCATCTATAATTTATTATATATTATTGTTTGCCCTCCGTGGGGTGTTTCTGTCAGTGCCTGGATAAAATAGGAAAGCATTACTCATGCGGCCCAGAGATGTGGACTCAGAGCTTGTCTGTCTCTCTCGTTCCCTTACAGAGGAGGGGAAAGGAAAAAAGAATGACCCCTTGGCTCTGCTGTTGTCGACCAGAAAATACAATTCTATAGAATACTATGAGCAGATCTTTGTATCTCACCCTCAACTGGATAGCATTCAGATGGCGGCTTACAAAAAGCCATGCCACACTCAGGGAAATGTGGAGGACAGGCCAGGGAGGAAGCCGTGTGATGCGGGGCACGCTCCCGTTTCGTGCTGTTGTTATTTGAGCTAATAGTTCAGGGGGTTTGGGGGTGGGGAGGGGGGCTTCTGTCCTGCCCTCACCCAGTACTTCCCTGGTTGCCTGAACTCGAGAACATTTGTTTTTCTCTTTCCCCAAGAAGCATTTCGGAGACTCTAGGACGCATAAGGGGGCTTTTGTTTTGACGTTCAGAGAAGGCTATAAAAGCAAGCGTCTCTCCCAAAGGCATAAGGAGGGAAATGGGTGTGAAATTAATTTTAATGGTGGATAGAAACAAAATCTGAAAGAAAGGTTTAAAGAAAGCTTCCCACCTATTTGACCAACGAAAGGTGTTTTATAGTCCTAGGGACCAGATTTCGAATTTTTGGGGCATCGGGTTCAATTAAAGTGATGCTGAGCCGCGGAAGAGGAAAATATAACCGTGGGAGGGTTGATTCTATTAATTGGATTCAGTTGTCCGGGGTATTTTTTACCCACTGACAGGAAGGCCAGTGCTCCGTTCCACGAAACTCAACAACTGCCAGGTTATGTCAACATATAAATCCCAAGGACACTTGAGACAGGCTCAGACAGGTTCAAGTACGTCTCGCAGGAACACACTTGACCCTACATGGGAGCCTAGTTTACGGAGCCCGGGAACTTTGATCCTTGGCGATGCCCTGCAAGGTAATCTCAGGAGAGCCGCGGACAGTCACTCCCAGCTCCCCGCCTGCTGATCCAAGCGAAACACATGTATAAGCTCCGGCCTCAGCCCATGGGCGCAGCGGGGCGCAGGAAAGGACGCTGCAGCCACAAGTGGACAGGACGTCACTGAGCCCCCTGCTGTCTGGTGCAGACAATGGAGGGAGGAGAGGGAGCCGCCGTGGCCCTGAACAGGTGGGAGCTGGAGGACAAGCACTTGCCCAGCTGGGGAGGGCTCTGTGCAGGCAGCGGATCCAGCAGCCGGTGAATGATCACAGGAGACAGCTCCTACGAGCTGGGATGCGGCAGGATTCCAGGCGCAGGGACGCCTGCCCGGGAACCAAGGCAATCTGGAAGGCAGCAGTGGGGTGGGTCGCTGAAGGGGCGGTTGGAAAAAGGCCCAGGGAAGGACAGGAGGGCCCGACTGCAGATCGGCAGGGCTACTTGGCGTTCCAGGGCGCTTAGGATTCTTGTCCACTCGAACACAGTCATTGGTTCTCCAGCTCTGCTAAAACCGTAATTCCTTTGTCACAGTCCTTGGCATTTCAGCTTTGTTTTTTTAAGAGTAATATTGCACCCATATCAGTCACCATATTCGTAATGGAATGTTAAAATGTGAGAGGTGACTCATCAAACACTGCCTCTAATAAAGACGAGTGGATCAAAACACAGGGGGGAAACCCATTGTTTGAAAACTTTATTTTAAAAAAATATTTTTATTGATTTCAGAGAGGAAGGGAGAGAAAGAGAGAGAGAGAGAGAAACATCAATGATGAGAGGGAATCATTGATTGGCTGCCTCTTGCACATCCCCTAATGGGGATTGAGCCCCAAACCCAGGCATGTGCCCTTGACCGGAATCGAACCTGGGACCCTGCAGTCCATAGGCTGATGCTCTATCCACTGAGCCAAACCAGCTAGGGCTGTTTGAAAATTTTAAAAGTGTTTCTTTTAAAATGTGTTTTTTTAAAATTATTTTTTACTTTTCAATTATAGTTGGCATTCCACATTAGTTTCAGGGGTACAGCATAGTGATTAGACATTTATATAACCTACGAAGTGATCTCTCTGATAAGTCTAGTACCCACCTGCTGCAAATGTAATTTTTAAATTGGAGAAGAGGGGACCACGGAATAATGATTATTTCCTGAGACAGTAAGAACTGTGAATTTCCTTTCGCCAGGAGGAGTGTACCTTTAAGGAATACACAGTGATGTCAGAGGTTTCAGGTGCCTTGAATAGATAGTGCTGAAGTATTCTGTAAAATTGCAGCAGGAACACTTATGTCTACCAGTGGTTTCTGAGAGACTGACTGTTTCCCACAACCCTCTCCCCAGAATGGAAGTGATCAGCACTTATATATCATAGGCCAAGAACTGATATTTTGTTTTATGTTGACCTCTCTGATTGGGAGGATGAGTACTTATATCAATCTAAACCCTCATCTAAATGGATATCTACCTATACCTATACCTATACCTATACCTATACGTCTATTGTGACCACTTGAATCTCTTCTGTGAATTGCCTGTTCAAATGCTTTGCCCATTTTTCTACTTGACTCTCTGTCATTTATTATTTTGCAGTTCTTTGTATCTGAGGCATATACCATTAGTACAAAAGAGTAGCATTCAGCAGCATTAATTTCCTTAGTTTCCCAATGTAAAAGTCTAAAAAGCCATTTGATATTTTTGTTTACATTTATTTGCTTATCAATGAGGTCGGATTTTTTTTTCATAGGTTTGCTGGAAACTCATGTTTCTTCTGCAAATAGCCATTGCCCATCGTTTAGGGAGGTGCTGATGGTGGTTTTCTTACTAATTGTAGGAGCTCTTTACAGGCTATGAACCAGGGTCTGTTACCTGTGGTGAATAATGTGTCATGCTTGGTTTGCAGGGGGACTTCCGGCTCTGTGGACAGGATTTGGAGAAGGTATGTGTTTCAGCTTTGGCTTGTATTCTCCTCAGATTTGGAAGTCAAACATAACTCACCATCCTGAAGATTCACTTCCTTTGGAAAAGCATGCAGCCTGGTCTACACAAGAAATGACATCTCTTCTTGTAATATGGCGTGGACCACGCACCATAGTAACCCTGGCCTTATTGTGCGCCAGGTGGGTTTGCTTGACTTTGTTACTATTGAGCTAATGAATTAAAATGCCTCTGCTTTCTTCCCTGTCCACAGGGGCTGGGGCCTACGGTGGGGGTGGGCAGGGAACAGGGATCTGAAAGCAGACAGCAGAATGACCAAGCTGTAGGAAAGGCAGGGAGGAGACTTGAACGTGGCCTCAGCGCTCCCTATGTCTCCGCTCCTGCCTTCATCTAATGCCCTCTCTTGGTAGGTAGGCTGGCCTTCGTCACGTGGCAGAAAATGTCTTGCACCGTCAGCCCTGGAGAGAGGCAGCCTCAGTTCTCCTTTAGTGCCATTTGGCAGCTGGCGCTCTCTTGAGGGCCCAGTTTGGGTCAGAGGTAGGGTTGTCAGGTAAAACACAGGATGCCCTGATACATTAGAATTTTCAGAGAAACAACTCATCATTCTTAGTTGTAAGGGTCTCCCCAAACTTTCACAAGGTCGACGGAAAAGTTATTAGTTGGTTATCTGAAAAGCAAATGGAACTGGGCATCTTGAATGTCTATTTGCTAAGCTTGGCAACCCTAACCAGGAGCTTGCTTCTAGACCAGGTAGCCTAGAACCAGGGCGCTGGGGGTCAGCCTCCCATCAGTTACCTGCAGCCAGAGGGCCTGATCATGTCCCCACGGCTGCCCACTTGCCGATGGTGGGGGTGGGGTAGTTACTATGCCCAGCAGACAGCCCCCTGGGTGTGCCCATACCTGCCTGACTCAGACTAGCGTTCCTCAGCCTCAATGGACTCTCTGCAGCTCCTTCCCGTGGCTCTGGCTGCCGGGTCACAGCGGACTCTCAGCTCAGGGCTCTGTATTTACTGAATCTGTTGTTGGCTCTCCGATTCTGGTCCCTGTGCCGTGTGCACTACAAGCTCCATGACGAACAGGGCCTGGTCGGGCCTTCTCCGAGGCATCGTGACATTTCATCAGGGCCTGGCTCGTGTCAGGTGCCAGTACATGAGCTCATCCAGGGAAGCTCGTCCACCTGGGTGGGAGGAATGCAGCCCAAGGTTCTCCTATCCGTCCCCTGTTCCCTGTCCACACCTGTCGGGCAGACAGCAAGCTTACAGGAGTTCCAGCGCTCTCCTTGCCGGCTGCACCTCAGCACTTGCGACACACTCACTGGAGGACACGTGTGCTCATCTTGTCTACTTCACAGCTCCAGACTGCGCAAACCCACGCTCGCCTTTGGCGCCTTCCACCCTGCAGGCGGGCTCCGCTCTGGGTGTGGGCACCCGTGTGTAGGGTGACCCTACCAGCGAGGGGAGAGCAGGTTGGGGCACAAGCATGGAGCAGGACCCCGTGTCAGGACCACAGGAAATCTGAATGAGCTCATTGAGGGACGCTCGACCAAGACCCCCTGGATGGCTTGTTCACCGATGGCTCCAGAGGGCAAAGCTGTCCGGTCTCCCACCCCTGCACCCTCTCCTCCCCACCCTGCTTGCCCGTGCTCACTCCCTTTCCTCCCATTTCAAAAGCATTAACCATCTGCTGGACACTGAAATTCTTAGACAATCATTTGAACAACCCTGCAGTATAGCAGTTTGTCCTTTGAAAATGGAAACATGAGGAATTGAGAAGCATTGAGAAAACCCAGCCTAAGAGCCTGCACCTGTGGGCACCGGTTGGACAGTCACGGAGCCTCTGCGGATGGGATGTCAGACCCAAGGGCCTGCACTTGGCAGGGTGGGGAGGCAGGTAGTTGGGGTAGGTGTGCTGCGCAGGACTTGGTCCGCGACCAGACTGAGGGGGGGCCCCTGCCCGTCCCCTTCCTCCGGAGCCAGCGCCACCTGCCCTGGCGCTCCACCGTCACCTGTCTTCCTTCCGCTCCTTTGTTTTCATTCATTCCACTACAGGTCAGCTGCCTCCTCCCCACAGCCAGGGAGGCATTATTACTTTGCAAACAAAACATGTCCTGCTTGCCTGGCAAGATGGGTTGTCTGGAGAGATTTCCTGCAGACTGCTGTGCTCACATCGCGGCTCAGAGTTCTTGTAAACGGCAGTCACAGAGGGTGGCACTTCCTGCCGGCGAGGAGCCGTGTCCTCTCCGTGACCTCGGCCGTATTATCCCTTGTGGTCCATCCTGCAGTCCCTCTCTCCTTCCCGCCGAGGGCCTTGTCCTGCCAACCGGAGGACAGGCCAGGCAGGGAGGAAACCGCGTCCCTTGGTGATGGCAGGGGACAGACAGATGCTGCAAAGTGGGGGCGTGCTCCTGTCTTAGTCCTCACTGGCCACCTGCCCCGCTCACACGCTGGCCCTCCCCCAGGACCACGAGGCCAAGGCTTGCAACGTTCCTGGGCTCCAGGGAGATCAATGATGTCAGCAAGTCAAAGGTGGAGGGAGTGGGGTTCCTTTCCTGCTCCTTTCTAGAACCTTCCTGGATTGACATGATTCTAATCCCTCAGCGGCAGCTGAAAACGTGTTTCCGGGGCTCCACTTCAGACCATGTCAGCCACAGACTCCTTTCTACCTCCAAACTGCATTTGCCTCTGGCCCCGGCGTCTCTGTGTCTTCTCTCCCCCTCTCTCTTTCTCTCCCTCTCCCTCTCCCTCAATTCTCTGTCCTTTTAAAAAGGGGAAGCCAATTGGGAGGCAAACCTAAACCCTGATTTTTGAGTAGGGAGCAGCCTTTCACATGAAAAAATAAAAGCACATACATTAATAGCTTAGAAAACAATGGTAATATTTAATTAACCTTTGGAAACGGCTGATCTGCAAATCTGCACGTGTCAGCTCATCTTCAGAACAGAGGGACTGTGTGTGCCGGTGCCAAAATCAACATGCCGGGTCCGTGCACTGCTTCCATGGGGATTTCATGGCGGGGGTGGGGGGTGGGGGAGTAAGACCCCCCCACACACACATCAGTTGTTTTACTTTAAAAATTCATGTGATCCAGCCGCCCCCGTCAGGGCTGGCCGTAGCCTGTTGTGCTACACATCTGAGGACCCCATGTTGCAGCTTGGCTCCTCTCCCTGTCATTGTCGCAGACAGGCCGCAGGCCTCCTGGGGGAGCGAGGTCACTTCTGATGACAGCAAATATCAGCTCGATGCACTTGGAGCTCTCCCAACACAGTGCATGTCCACAGGACAAAGGGAATTAGACTCATCTGCAAGTGTCAACTCTCTGGCTTTTTAGGAATTTCTTTTTTCCTTTTAAAGGTGGTATACTCTCAGCTGGAGAAGGCTTGTCATCCAGGGAGCACCGAGGTTGGCTCATTAAAACGTCACCTGGTTAAATACAGTAAGTCAACGTTGATGACATTGTTTCAGGTATTCCCCCTCGCGGAGCTGGTGTGTCATGCTGATCAACTTTTACTCCCATCGCGGCGAAATGGAAACCCCTCCTTTCTGCCCTGCACCCTGTACCTGCTTTAATGAGGGCGTCTCACCATGTCATCAGAAGCCTGAGTTGATGGGTGGTGACTACCACCTTTCACTTTTATCAACAGCGAGAGCAGAAAGAACCAGGGACGGTCCTGTTTTGCTCTTTGGGACTTGCAGAATTCAGGAGTGTGGGATTCGGGCAGTCCCAAAGAAAATGAATATGGAACGGTTGATTTGCACTTTAAATGGTACAGACACAGCCATCACGCAATAAGATGCAGTTTGAGATCTTAAAAGAATGGCTGTCACTTGTAAAAAGGCTATTGCTATTGCCTTTATTTGTTTTGAAGCATCAGAGAGAAAAAAGTTTGTAGCTTTTAAGAAATGTGGCAAATCTGTCGAGCTTTGTGTAGGAGAGATCCAGGCATAGGGAGGCTGGGTCAAGGTGGGAAGATACACACCTGGTCAAATGAAGCAACTGTCTGCTTGCTAAGCTCTCCTTTTTCCCTATTGGAAGAACACGGCACAGTTGGGTACATAAAGATCATGTCCCTGTCATTCTAGCAGGTTCAAGAGCTGTAGGGATCCAGGAAGGAGGCCCGCATGTGTGAGATCTGCCCAGGGATGACCAGGAGTGCCTTTCTAGAAGAAAACAGAGCTCATCAGTGAGGGCCACATCTCCAAGGAGCAAGCCTGACTATCAGTGACTCCACCTCAAACATCAAGGACAAGAATATCCGTGACCTCAGTGACCCACAAGTGATCCAATGATCAGATCTACCAGTGGCGATTGCTGGGCTGAGAGCGTAGGTCCTTTAGTCCCTCAAGGCAGGGAAGGCAATAGGAAGTAAGTGCCGGGAGATAGAAAGAAAAGTCATGGTTTGTCCTTAGCCTACACTTCGAGAGCGCGTACTACACTCCAAGCTTATTCTCAACGCTTTACATGCCTTATCATATGTCATCCACTCAACAAACCAATGAGGTATTTTGTTAGCCCCACTTTACAGATGAAGAATCGGAGGCACAGAGAGTTTAAGTAACTTGTCCCAGGTCACATAGGATATACTGATTCCGAGTTGAAAGAGGACAGTGTGAGTTATAGCCAATGGTTTGTATTATTTTAATGGTTTTCTGTTTTATCTTGTCTCTATTGTGTTTAGTAATTGGCCTCAGCTGGTCAACTTGCCTTTCACAGTACATAGTAGCCCTGAGAGGTTCCAACTGCAGTCTCTTCTGAGACACCCACTCCTTTATCTGCTCCAAGACGCATGGTCTTTCCTCTGTGAGAGCAGAAACCAAAGACCTTAGGTTGTTGGGAGAGCACAGCCATGCTGAACACAGGGGCAAAAGTCAGCCAAATGGAAAGATGAGAGCAACAGAGAGGATATAACACCTCCTCTCCCCAGAAAGCGCAGCTTCAGGAGGGAATTAGAAAAGGAGCAGGAATAGCAAGCCAAAGGAGACACTTATTTGTAGAAAAATGAAGACAGTTTTCACCTGGACTTCCGCCCATGGGGCCCAGTGCTTCGTGTGCCCATTGGACTAAAGACTTGAGTCGTGAACGTTACATCAGGACCCCTTAGGACTCAGGGGTCGGTAAACTGCGGCTCGCGAGCCACATGCAGCTCTTTGACCCCTTGAGTGTGGCTCTTCCACAAAATACCACGTGCAGGCGCGCATGTAAAGTACAATTGAAACTTTGTGGCCCATGCTCAGAAATCGGTATTTTGTGGACGAGCCACACTCAAGGGGCCAAAGAGCAGCATGTGGCTCATGAGCCACAGTTTGCTGACCACTGCCTTAGGTCATTGAAGCACGGAGCTGGGAGGGCTTCAGCAGGTGGCCTGGGTGGAGGACCCAATTCTGGCCTGGGCATGTTAAACCATCCACAGTTAACACAACATGGCAAGCCGGGCAATACAGAAATAGCACATGGCTGTGATCTTACGGGCTCCTGAATCCAAAGTGTCTCATGTGTGGGCCACAAGCCACAAAGAGGCTTAACCCAGCTCTTAAGAGGTTTATTTCGGCCAAGGAGGTTAGCCTCTTTACGAATGCCCCCCTGACATTGAAAACTAAAGGCCACCAAGGCAATGCAAATGACAACGTGAGGAACGTTGACGTTGATGGTGGTGATTACTACTAATGGCAGAAGCATCCTGCACAGCCAGGGGACTTCTGTGACGTCCCCTGTATTCATGCCTGTCTAATTCCCTGAGCTGCTAAACTAGCACATTTAGTGATTAGCTCTCTCGGAAAATCTCAGTTGACTCCCAGGAGGCGGGGGAAGAAATCTGCATGTGCATACATGAGTGGAGGCTGTAGAAATGTATGTGTGTGTGTGTGTGTGTGTGTGTGTGTGTGTGTGAGTGCGCGCGCCGCACCCGTGCCCCGTGCCTGTGTGCGCGCGCGCATTTGTGCATGCAAGTGGCGAGCAGCTGAGGGGCTGAGCAGTTTTCCGAGATTCCCCAGAACACGGAAGGCTGGCGGTGCATATGGGAGAACTGACAAGTGTACCAGAAGGTGAGGAAATGGCTGGAAGCAACACTAATGCCACTCCATCTGGAAAGAGGGGGACTGTTTAGTACGTCTGGAAAGCATTATTTCTGCAAATAGCTCAACCTCTATCAACTCTCAGGCAGGGATCCCGATCTGCTGCCAAAATGAGATCTCCCTGACGGCTGTGCGGCGGGAGAGGCCGAGCAAATGAACTAATAGCAGAAAGCAGGAAATCTGTGGCGATGGCAGCCGTGGAGGCGCCACACAGCACGCACCTGCCTCTCTCCAAAAAGACAGCCGGGGTTTCACATCGCATTAGGCCGGGGCTGTGCGTGGGGAGGTTTGAACCTGGTGGGAGTTGGAGCTCGGCAACCATCTCCAACAATTTCTCACAAGTTTTGGGCTCAGAAAAGGCCCAAAGACAGTTCGCCAAATGGCTTTCCCGCATTGATTTTTATACCCGTGGGTATTTTGAAGGAAATTAAATCCATGTGTTTCCGATTCCGCTGCCATTAGCACGTGCAAACGCTGTGTTGTGAGCGTTACGGTGTGCCGTGGGTGCCTCCGCACACGCCGCTAAACGCCATCAACCCTCTCGCCAGCCACGGAGGTGCAAGGAGCCACGTGCGTTCTGCGCTCGCCATTTCCCTGCCTCTCCAGAAGGCAACATACTCATGTCCTTCGCATCCTTTCTGAATGGAGCACAACGCATTTCCCCAAGCCAGTTACGTCATCTCTCATTTCCCATGCGAAGGAAGCCCTATTAGCGTGGACGGTGAGAAATGGCCATTAACCACGAGTAGCTGGATGGGATTCCGGGTAACACAGCCACCAAGGCTGGTTCTGGTCTCCAGGTCTAGGGGCAAAGGAGCCAGCTGAAATGCAGCCCCGGAAAGATCTACAACTCTCAGGAGCAGGAAGCGATAGTGGGAGTCGCTGGTCTGGGAGCCAAAGAGGAGGGGGCTCATCAGGGCCTGCCATTTGCCACTGGGTTAGGGGTCTTTCTGGTCTGACTTTCTGTGGTTAAAAACCGGCCCCTATTTGTCCATTGTTATTACATTCGTTGCGTGATTGCATGTATGACATCCTTAGTGTGTCTTGAAGGTGTCCTGCTCAGTGTCGAGGACACAGCGATGAAGAGCATGCCTCTGCCTTTGGAGGAAGGAGAAAGGGGAGGGGCCTAACTTATGGAGTATTGACTCTGAGGCAGGCCCAGTGCCAGGGCCTTTATCTGACAATTTCATGTCACATCTTCACAAGACTATTCTAAAGTAGGCATGATTGCCCCATTTTCTAGATGGAGTCACATCAGGAAGATTGGGTAATTTGCTCCAGGACACAAGAGTTTGTAAATGGAAGAGATGGGATGTAGAGTTTCTTATCTTTGATCCCAAAGCTCATGCTATTTTCCCTCCTCCTTCCTGTTTCTCATAGTTTAATGTGATCAGTGTTTAATATGCATAATATATACATTTTGTATATGGACTCACAGAAGAGGGAGACTCTGTTTTGGGGACATTGGGAGATTTCACTGAGATGATCTGTGTTGGGTTTTGAAGGATGAGCAGGAGTTGACCAAGTGGAGATAGAAGTGGATTGGGGAATGGCAGAGGAAACAGTGTGTGCAAAGGTCCAGGGTGAAAGGAGAGGAAGGCGCTTCAGGAAGGGAACATAAGTCAGCTCATTTCTGTAGCACTGATTAATGTTTAAGTTGCTGAAAATGCTCCGGTGACCTTTCTCCTGTGGGCACATTTCTATCTTGATTGAACGTTTTCTTATCGGGAAGATAAGACCTCCAGTTCTTTTGGACCCCCAGTCGTCTCACTGTTCCATCTACTGGACGGCTTAGGATGTCACCTTTGGGAGCAGATGAAAACTCAAGTGGTGTGGTTGACTTGAGCTTTGGTCAACGTTGACCAGCTCTCAGTGGAGAAGGGGTTCCCTAAATTCTCCTGCACCCACATTATCATCAAAGATGTTTTGCTCTTCTCCTGCAATGCAGAAAGTTGAAAGCACAGCTGGCGGCAATTTTGCTCTGAATTTGGAGGCTGTGGAGCAAACGGGAAATTTCATGCTGCAACCATGGTGGAGGCCAGCCGAGCTCTGGTGACTTACACGGTATGTCCACAACCAGCTTCCCATGAAATTGCCTATCAGTGTGGACAACCTGGGGAGCCGCAGCTGAACGGCTTGTCTAGAAGGCTCGCCGGATTTCATCACTAGGCTCACTCTAGCACTTAATAAATCCGGATTCTCCTGTGCCTTGGGCTAGCCGAGCTTGCCCTGTGCCCTATGCCGCAGTCAGTTTGCTTTCTAAAGCAGTATACTAGGCAATCCACTAAGAGCTGTTTTACCTCATCACAAGGATTTGGGGAGGTCTCTCGACTGCTGGCAAGGGGTATGCTGGGCTCCTGACTGAACACACGTACTTACCTTGGTCTAAATGCAATCTGTGGCTTGAGTGCCTTTGGTGACCTGTCTGTGCTTCTCAGACCATTTAAACTAGTCATTCTGGGCCAGTTGTGAGCATCTAGCACTTCACTTAGACGTAAGGGACCTACCCCTCGTCCAGAATCTTTCTAAATAAATAAATAACTTCATCATCTGTTAAATGAAAAGGTCAAACGAGATAATCCCAAAGGATTTATCCAGCTCTAAAACTTTCCGGTCTCTCTTGTTCTAGCGGTAGTGGAATTTAAGAACCATTGTGTGCTTTCATTCAGAGACAATCTCACTATCTCAGGGTTATTTTAAAGACATCTGCTTAGTTTTTCATTTGCTCCATGAAAAACAAATCCCAATTTATTTGGCCTTTCCTCAGAAAGACAATTTCTCCAAACATGTTACCACCCGTGTGGACTTGAAACCTTTTGGGACCCTCTCCAAGGTCTTCATGTCACACTCCACAGTGTCCGCTTCTACACAGAAGGCCAGTCTGGGCTCCACTGCACTGGGTGGGCTCGACTGCACTTGGGTTGTGTGGCTGGCTATGAAAACAGCCAGGTTCTGACTTTCCAAACCTTGCTTTTGTGAGAGCTAAACCATGTCGGCAGCTTGCAGCCCCCTCTTTTCTCCAGTTGGGGGTCTCTTGGAGTGTAAGGCGGCGTTACATGTGTTGTAAACATGGCGGCCAACAATG